TGATTTAATGCTTACATTAGGAATAAATAAACAAAAACTCTCTATTTGTAGTTTGTTTACGAAGATCCTGTTGATGTCATTTTGTGTAGTTTATGTGACCCTAAATTACTGATAAATTTCTAGTAGATAGCTAAAGTCATATAGCAGTTTTTGTGATTTTCGAAAAACTATCATGTGAGGGACCCAAATATTAAGCCAGGAAACATAGCCGAGATTGTGCAAATGGTTTTCTACGCTTGTATGGGATACATTTAGGGCCATATCAATCTCTCGCGCTGCTTGGGTGTGATTTTGATCAACAAAGGCCTTAACATTGCTCGTTTCAATTTCATGCGGACGACCAGACCGTTGAGCAACATTGATGTCTAAATTTCCTAATGCAATTTGACAAACCGATTTTTACAGGTAAGTTCGGTTAAGGCATCATCCTCATAAACACTGCAAAATTGTCAATAAGCTTCTGCAGAGCGCTACCTTTTTTAAAATAATACAACAAAATATGCCGATAGTAAATTATATTTTCTTAAACAATGCAATAGCAAACACAATACTAAGCTAGTTTCAACAAGAGTTAACAGATATAGTTGTTAACATATTACAAACAGGATAAACATTCCACCTTAGGGATTAATTCATCAGATAAGAAGTGTATCATAGTGACATAAAAATATACAGAAAAACCGAAAAGACTTAGTTGCTAACCCAATGCATACATTTCTTTTTAGCCGGAAATACCACTTCAATAGTTCCATCGTCTATATTTATAGTTTTATCGTAAATATAACTAAACCATTGATACAGCATGAAGATATTACTGTAATATACCAGTGGAATTGAATGTCAAAACAACGAATAAAGGATATAAGATAGTTTTAAAAAACAATAAGAAATCATGACTAGCTGGGTTGAAAAAAATTAACCGACTAAAACGTTACTTCTTATTCATTTATTAAAAGCATAATGATATGAAAAACTATCAAATTTATATTTCTTACTGAAGAATTCTGTCCATTCAGATCGAAATAAAAATGTTTTTAACATACTTTTTTTTCCGTAACCGAAGGTTTATAAAATTTCTCTTCCATAACGTCGATAAAAATGTGATCTAATGTGAACTTTTTTCAATTTTGGATACTAGCGATTAGAATTGTAACTACATATTTTTAAAGATCGAATACAAATTTGTCAAACATTTATTTAAAACATTGCTCCTCCTTATTTGGGTTGAATTGATAATGATATTGGAGTGATGATTATCATATTCGATAGCATTTGTATCGACGGTATATTTGAGAATAAAAGGTCTCAAAAGAAGGAAAGGATTTTTCATTAAATGATTAAAACATAATTACCTTTACATATATACACACATACATACATACCTACGAATCCCTCATTTATTTTAAATAATAAACAGATAGTTCCCAAAAGAAAATTTTGAAATTTCTATCATAGTTGTTTCTATAGTGCTCCTGAGATCAGTGTGTTCCATATCTTCCTACTAACAGTTTTTCTAAGAGTAAGCTAAACATTTATGTATTATATGTATTACGATATCTTTATCGTTATTTATATAGTTAAATAAAGATTTTAGAATTTTTCTAAGGTATGCCAATTACTGGTACGGACCCCATGTCCATTAATGGAACAATTGAATTTCGGGGTGTTCATAACTAGTGCAAATAGCTGTGTTTTTTTTTTTTTTAATGGAGATTATAATTGCATATTTTTTCAATCTTAAAGTGTTAAATATGAAAAGGAGACCATAAAATTCTAAATGTCCAACGGAGAGTTTCAGAACTATAATAATTACGGCGGCGTAAGCCAAAAAATTCCTTAGATATGTCCATCACTGGTGCGCTTACCCTAAATGGTTTTATATATTTAAGTTTGATAACTATTAAATGCTTTATTGGAAAAATGGTCTAATAAAATGGAAAAAAAAATATAAGTTATCTCTCAAGTGAATTTTCAAGATATGGATGGAATTGCTTAGTAATAACTTGAGAGTACAAAAACCAAGTTCTTTTTTTAGAACAAAACATTTTAACAGTTAAAGATAGTAAGAATTTATTTCAAATTTCATAAATAACTCAAACATGTAAAACAATTTTTTTTACAGTATTTTATTAGCGATGTTTTCAAAACGGATAGAAACTTATCGATAAAAAGAATGATGATAAGTTAAAATACTGAATAAACAAGAAAAGTTAACTTCGATTATTGAAAAATAAGAGTAAAAATAATGAAGTTCTCGAGGTAGTCCAATACAAATTAGGTATGCGTAAGGATTTGCAAACGTTTTGTCTATTAATGGAGAGTCACAAAAGTACTCAGAGGGCCTTGAAAACATCTCTATCGCTAAATAGAAGGTTTCATGAATATACAAGAGATGCGAGAGATGAATTATGTCATCCTTCCCTTGTCACATTTACCTACATTGCAAATCCACTCGAGCAAACTGAATAACGGCTCTGCACTGGAGGAGCATCCGGTCCGTATACCATTAGGATCAAATAGTCCAAAGACAGATTCGCGTCAACCGAATATTCATGGAGTAATAAGACATGGGAATGCATGGGATAAAATTAATTGCAACAATAAGCGTGAATAATATATATATATATATATATATATATATATATATATATATATATATATATATATATTATTATAATATATATATATATTATTATATAATATTATATATATTTATACATTATCATATTTTCCTTCAACAGCTGAGATCATACCAGAACCTTCAAAGATTAATCCAAATAATTAAATATTTGATACTCTTGAGTTTACTCCATTCAATGGGTTTAGTAAAAAAAACATCTTTTTTTTAAAAATAATTTTAACATTTTAAGCTATTTACATTGATTGCGAGTTTGCTTGATTAACATAATTTTGTATTTGTTGAGAAGTATCTCCTTTGCCCATTTTCTTTTTAGTCTTCGTCGATCAGATAACAGGAAGGAAGAAAGAGACAGATCGAGTGGGTTTGATTGATTGATGGGATTGAGAGTAAAAGAATGAAATGAAGTATATTTGTCGTGGATTTTACTGTTGGGATGTTTAAGTCGTTATGTAGATTGTTATGTGTACCAACGTACAGTGTTGAAATGTACCAAGGTGCGTTGACAACTTTTGGTAGATTTTTTTATTGTGTTGTTTGTAATTTATTAATGTGTGTTTGTTTCGCGAACCCCAAAGTTTTACTCCGTATTTCCAAATTGGTCTCAGTATGGCGTTGTAGCTTATTTCGTAAGTTAAGTGAAGATCTGTAGTCCAGAAGATGCCAGAGTTGGTTTTATTGTCTAGTCAGTTCTTGTGTTTTTAATTTACTATTATGTTCCAGGTAAGTCTTCTGTCTAAGTAGAGTCCGAGATACCGTACATAGTTTTTTGAAGGCACTGGGCAATTGTCAATCGTTATGGGTGGACAAAAACAACTAGATGGAACATTTTGTTATAAATATCACCTTCTTGTAAAATCAAACAATTCCAAGTACAAAAAATGTTTTTGTTTTGTATGAATATTTTTAACTTTTTCCTACTGTTCCAGCTTAAAATTATATTTGCTGCATGTATTTTAAGAAATGTACTGCCATGTTTAAATTCATTGAAGAAATCTAATTTCTTTGATCATAAGAAACATGCTTTCATAACCATATAAAATCATACTGTCATATATAATAAATAAAATCTCTCCCTCTCTCTCTCTCTCAAACACACACACACACACACACACATTAAGCCAATAGGAGTAAGTAAATGTTCCACAAACCGTGACGAGTATTATATAGTTTGTAAATAAACGAGGTATAAACTTCACTTCTCAGTTCTTCTGGCCGATATCGGACCAGGCTATTGGCCAACCAAAGAAGCGGATAGCATCATATAAGCGTTACTGCTGCTTGAGAACTCAATAGATGTTCGCGTTTCTACTTACTTATTTTTTTTTATTTACAATTTTAATTGTGTTTTTATAATTTCTTTTAATTTTTTTTTGTTCAATAAGATTTGTATGTTTTTGGGTAGGTATCAATGGCGAATCTACCAGGAGGAATGAAAAAAAAAAGGTTTTTTTCATTGGTCAATATTTGTTTACGAGAGTGATCTAATCCAATTACTTTAAAAAATCACAATATATATATTTTAAAATTTCAGTGCACATATACAGACAGCTAATAAATGTGAGCACGTTCCAAAAAATCGTGTATGCCCAGAGAGACGATTCCCAACGCTTGCTAGAAGAACGGCCCTGTAAGAACACCAGCTGTAAAACATGGAAGAGGAAGACCACCTCTGAGATGGTTGGACAAGGTGGAGGACAGCCTGAAAAGGATGGGTATTCGAAGATGGAGAATGCTCGCTCGAGATAAAGGGTGGCGAAAAATCAGAAGAGAGGCCCAGGTTCTTACAGGACCGTAGGATCAAGAATAAATAAATAAATTAAAAAATATATTTGAAATTTATGTCTAAAAGCATTATTTCTTCAGTAATTAACCTCTTCTCTCCTTTGTCTTATTTTATTTCCTTCAAGGACCACTTAAACATCATTTCATAGTTTTTATTTTATTTTTTTCTACCAGTGTAATTACGGTAACAGAATAAAAAAAACAACTACGTTCGCCTTAATATTTCCAACGAATAAATATTAATTTATTGGTTGACCGTTGCATTATAAAGGAAGGAGATGGTCCGGGGTTGCGGTCATAAAAAGGCTAAATAGTGGTAAAACTATTTAGCCTTTTTATGACCGCAACCCCGGACCACCTCCCTCGTTTAAATAATAATTTAGTTTTACAAAATAAAATTCTCAATAGCCCCACTTTGACAACTGTTGAAATATTTACATATCATTAAAATATATGGCTATATAACCCAATCCATAAATAAATAATATATAGAAACAAATTTAATATTTTAGTACTATGTTAATATATAAATAAGATGATAACATTAACATAAACAAATGATAGAATAACTACTTACGACGAAGATGTCGGGAGAAGAGGTGCCGGCACTGGAGGCCCCATCCCCGCCGCCGTGGCTGCCGGGCCCCTCCCCGAAGTTGGCGATGATCTGCTCCCTGTCGTCGGCCACATCGTACAGCCGGTCATCAGGGTCCAAGATCCCTCCGTCCCGCTGGGTCTGCAGCGAGTGCACGGCCACCCAGTTGTCCGAACCCTGCCGACAAAGTAGAGGTATTAACATCTAGTAGTAACAAACAGCTTACATAATCATATATATATATACATATATATACAAATTAAAAACACCTGTTGAGTAACTACAATGAATAGCATTAGTAAGTCAATCTATGAAATGTCCGAAAATTATAGCTGAAAAAAAATATATACATTCCTTGATTAATAGGAACATTGATATATAAAGTTTGATAAAAAAAAATAATAATAATAATAAAAAAAACGCTGCAAATTACTTCACAATGGTTTATTATTTCCAAACAATTATACATCTAAGGTAGTAACATTACCTTCCGGGTTACAAAGAAAAAGAAACAAAAGGTGATTCCAATTATTTGACTAAACTTTTTTTTTTTAATCATTAGTAATATGCTAAAAAAAAATAGCATTACTTCAGTAACACATTCAATATTTAAAAACCAAACCAAGGATATAACATTTGGAGTAGAACATATAAAAAAACCGGAGACCATATCTTTGCTCCTAATTGTACGATTTTAAGGATTTTTTTTTTGTTTTTTTAGGAAATTTCGTAAACTTTTAAAAAACCATAATACATGATACAATATCCACAAATCGGGTTATTCGGAATTTAATTTTTAATTTTTTTTCAGGTTCTTTCCGTTGAAGTATGTTATATAGATAAATTTAAAGGGCGTAGAGAAAATGACTTTAGCGAGGATTCATTGAAATCTGTACATTCGTTCAGGAGCTACAGTCAATAGCAACGCAGGTTTTTCGGCCGCCATTTTGAAAGTAAAAGGCGGATAGTAATGTCGAGGAGGGTCATCCTCGGGTGAGCTCTGATTTTATATCAAAATTTGAAAAAAAAATCGGTTCAGTAGTTTCGGAGAAAATGCGCGGACGGGGGACGGACAAACAAATTTTTATTCGTTTTTCAAATTCTACCCCTCATGAAACGTGAAACCTTAAATTTTGAGAGGGGGTTCATTTTTTTATTCGATCACAATGGTTGATTATTGAAATTAATAAACTAAAACTCTAGTACGATAATAATCCTAATTTACATTAAGGCAGTGGTCTGCAAACCCATTATTCGAAAGAACAAAATTGCAAGGATTATCATTTTTTTTTGTCTTCATATTTCCATCCATACATGTCATGAGCTTGACAATAAGCAGATGTGCTGTAACTAATAAGAAAAATTGATATTTTAGTCATGAAGAAAAAAAATAGTACCCAGCAGCACTTCTTCCTGGTCTTGATTTATTTCCTTAATTCAAGAAAGGAGATCTCTCATCTAGCTCCTCTTTAGTCGTCTCCTGATAGCTGTGGCCATGTCGTTAATAATAAGTCCGTTGTGATGTCCGTGTAGTTTAAGATGAAATCTGGAGTAGAGATCGCTTATGTGTTGGTCCGTAGTTGGTTGTCGTAAGTAGTTATGTTAAGTTTTGTTGTTTACGTACCAAGGAGCTCCTGTTATAAGTCGTAAAATTTTGGATTCAAACGTCTGTAGTTTTTGTAAGTGTGTCTTTTTTACAGAACCGTAAATTAGTGAGGCGTATGTCCATATGGGTTTGAGTAGGTAAGTATATGTATTGAGTTTTTGTCTGATTTTCAATTTTGATTTGTAGAAAAGCGAGTACACTATTCAATTAACAAAGAGTATTATTATTTTATTAAGTGAAAACATATTTAGGCACGGTTAGTATTTTTTTGTAGGTAGTGAATGAAATTGATATATCGGATATGTAATGGTAATTCAGATTAAGTCGAAGACTAGAGTCTAATAATTGAGGGGTTATTGCATTTGGATTCAAATATCTCAGAAACGAATAATCGCACTTGCATACTATCAGCAGGGTATATTTTCACCATTTCAACTTCTTTTTAATGAGCTGTTATTCAAAATTCAATCTTAATGCGACGCCGTATTATAGAGAGAAAACTGGAAAACGATAGTGGCGAAAACCAAATGATAACGACTTTAGTTGAACATCTAGATTAAAATATTTCAGAAACTAAAAATTGGACCTCCATTCTGTAAGAGAAATTTTTAGAATTTCATCCTCTTTGCAATGAGCTATCATTCAAAATTATAAATTAACTTGAAGCCGTGTTAGAAAGACAAAAAAAGGAAAAAGATAGTTCCAAAAAAAAAACAAAAATAATAACGACTGTTCCGAACATTTGGACAAAAATATCTAAAAATTTAAATATCATGAAGAATTCAGAAAGAAATTTTCTGATGCCAGTATAGATTTTTATTTTTTAAATTAGCCACATAAAAAAGATAAATATGTTTATATTCGATTTTCTGTTGGACCTGATTGAGTTTAGACAAATTTACAGAAATAATATTTAAAAAATGACGGAGTTTTCGGTAACATAAAACTATTGTATCATTTATAGAGCACGATGAAAATGACGATCACCGAACAAAGATTAATATAGTAATTTATACACAATTATAGTTGTATGCATTGTAAATGATATTACTCTGTGAATATAGAGCAAAAAATATATATAACTAACATTATTAATCTCGCTTTGATGTTTTCACTTTTATTGTGTGGTCTAAAACACCGCAGAAAATTAAAAAAAAATTTAATTGTATAGGTATCTTGTTATTACGAAACTAGTTTGATTGTCTAAATAATTAACTCTTTAATTTAATTTGTCCTTATTTTTATTGAACCACGTTCCCTCATGTCGACCACTTCCATCCAATTCACCCATCCGCACTAGTCTTTTATCGTTATATTATCTAACTAAATAAAAATAAATAAAGGCATAGTCATTGTTTTTTACATAGTTAAATCATTCTGATAGGACAATTTTAAATTTAATTGAATTACATAAAATCTAGTTATTACGTTCATTCTGGAACGTCGAAAATTGAAATAAATATTTCATTTTTTATATAATATATAAGAATTAGTATGCATTAGTGTTTAACTTAATAATTAAACACTAATATATGGTAACTCTTGTATTTTTTGAGAGAGAGGATTTGAACTCTGTTTAAGATGAACGCATCAATTAACAATTATTTAGTTTAATTATAAATTCGTCTGCAAAAGAAGGCCAAGCCTCAATTGTTTCAACATTCCCATTGTTAATCTTTCGTCAACGTTGTTTTTAATAAAAACACTTCTAATCATAAAATATAAACAAAAGTAATATTCAAAGCAATATGGAGCTATATATTTTACATACTTTTCTCTAGTAACATACAACACCAATGTAGTAAAAGAGACATATATATTGAATTGGACTGCATTTATCAAATTACCTCAATATTTCCTAGAAATAGAGGAATTGGAATTAATTGATTAAACATTTCAAGAAACATGTGGGCGTATCACAATTACAGTAAGCAAACAAGACATATTTTATTGAGTTTCTTCATTATTATTTATCTCCTTGCTTTAAAACAGTAGTTAGTACAAATACAAATTACAAATAACAGTGCATTCGAAGTAACTCTAAAATTCTTTAAGATTAAAACCGTCTCAGAAACCTGAGAAACCCTCGAGGATTAAGCGTTCCTAAGGTTTCTTATAAAAAAGAAAAAAAAATCCTTTAACAAAACATATACCTCTATTCATGAATGACAACAGGACAAAACTCCATCGAGGAAAAAAAACTCATTCAAGTGAACATTCCACAAACACAACGTCACAAGGACAAACGCCAAAAATTACGATGCAGAACTGTCAAACAAGCATTTGATAAAAAGAAACTTGAACACCATTCGACCATCTTTCTATAGCTTAGTATGCTAGTTTCTGCTTTGTTTTACTTTAATTTGAAAAAGTAATTTTTTTTTATTATAATCAATTTCCTCATTCACATGTATTACACAGTTCGAAAATGTTTGTGATTCCTTTGAACTTACATCACATTAAACAACTTTTAGACAAAAGGAATTCTCAACCGCTTCCGTAACTCGGGTGTAAAAAAGACCGCCTTAAAACAATCAAGAACTTTAATCGGTGAGAACAATCTACATCCACCAGCAATCCACTAATATATACTCTAAAAATAAAACGAATTTTAGTCTTTATTTTTATTTGCATGGTAATAAATAATGTAAAATATCTCTGTTATAAGATTCTAGACATACTTAACTAGATCAGGTTAGCAAAAAAACAAAAAAAAAAAACATAAATAACAAAAAGTAATGATTTAGTTCATCTTTAAATATTTAACTTTAACCATCCTAATACACTTTTATAGATAAAAGTGTACAAATAAAGTACCAAAAATATACTTTTCAAATGTATAAATAAAAAAATGCAACTAATGATCAAAGCTAAATCTACAAAATTGTTTATTGTTCACATCTTATTACATTCATATCACGTGTAAAATTAAATACGTATTTGTAAAAATAAACAAATAAATTTTAAGAAATGATATTTGAAGTTATGCGTTTTTCCATTAGGACCTCTCGTTTAACAAAATATTACTGGCGCGTAATATATAATTTTTTTTTTTTTTTTTTTTTTTTTCTTACCCTCCAAAATGTTTATTGAAACAATTACATATATAGTATACAATATACAATATATACATGTATAGTATACAATATACATGTATATATTGTATATTGTATACTATATATGTAATTGTTTCAATAAACATTTTGGAGGGTAAGAAAAAAAAAAAAAAAAATCTGTTATAAAATTTTGGGCATACTTAACTAGATCAGGTAAGTAAAAAAAAAATAATGATTTAGGTATTATTGAAAAAAATCTAAAAGAAGTATTATTTAGTGAGATAATTAAAAAGGTAAATAAAAAAAACAACAGAGAAAACAAGAAGTTTGGGGTTAGTTCAAACTTAATGCTAACTTTTGTAAAGAAAAAAAGGATTACTCAGAGTTTATTTAATTCAATATATTATTATTCATTTCTTGATATTAAAATTTAAAAAAAAAAAAAACATGATAAACAAAACTCCATCACGACGGACAACACAATTGATCAACTGAGTATCATTCTCATGTTTTGT